TTAACACGTTTGTTTACATTTTTGTTCAAATGGTACTTATCATCCTAAAAAAAAAATTTACTCCATGATCTTTATAATCACACCAATTGAATTTTATTTGAAATCATAATATTTCACACGGGGAAGAACACAGAGCATCTCAAAGAGCAGATTGGCGCCAGTAAGAGCAGTAGTTCCCTCGAAGTCATATGGAGGAGACACCTAAAAAAAAAAAAAATTGCAATTTAATTTGAAAATCCACTATGGGTTTAAAAGTTACTTAGAAAATGGACAAAATATATATAAAAAAGGGTAACAAAGTATTACCAACAGCTCAAACAACGAACACGATTAACCCTTCAAGCCCAAACATTCAAAATAATTTCAAGGACAACCAACAGAAAACTGAGCAGCCCAAGTTATACCTCGACCAAGTCACATCCCACGAGGTTCAGGCCACGGCACCCACGGATGATTTCCAGCGCCTGGATGGGGGTCAGACCTCCAATTTCAGGGGTGCCTGTGAGGGGGAGAGGGGAGGGGGGCTGGGTCGTTAGTAAGACGCCTGGTAAGAACTTTTATCTATAGCTACACGTATAAATATACATGAATACACACATCTATCTCTGTCTATCTATACCTATATTTACGTCTATCTCGCTGTCGACACATAGAATATATCTAATCTAATATCTAATCTATCTGTCTGTCTACACCTGTATCTATTCTTATACCTTACCAGTGCCAGGACAGAAGCCAGGGTCAATAGCGTCGATGTCGAAGGAGAGGTAAACGGGTCGATCGCCCATCATGGCTTTCACCTCCTCCATCAAAGGCTCCAGGGACTTGTGCCAACACTGGTGGGCTTGGACGATGCGGAAACCCTGACAACAAAGGTGGGAGAGGGGAATTAGAGAGAATTTGCGCTGGTGGGGCGTTTGTTTGTGTCTGTTTATCGGTTTGTCTATTTGTCTGCACTCACTCACTCTAAGAATAATATATATCAAACACAATAACACGACAAAAAGTAATATAATAATATTATAAAAAATAAAATAAACAAACCCTACCTTGCTTATCTGCCACGCATGCGCATCCACAGTGTAAGAGGAGCCACGTAGGCCTATCTGCACGGTAGCCTTCGGGTCGATCAGGTCCTCCTCGACGGCTCTCCTGAAGGGCGTCCCGTGGGTGATCTTCGCTCCCAGCATCGTGTCGCTGACGTCATTGTGGGCGTCGACGTGGATGAGGCAGACGGTGCCGTAACGGTCCTGTAGGAAATATTGTCATTATTATTATGATCTATCATTTTTATTATTGTTGTTGTGTCTTAAATTTGCCCAAGGCGTAAATGTAAATATATCTGTTACCGGTGGACGCGATTCACACGGAAATCTTTTGTCAACATTCGACCTTGACCTTTGCTGATCTAATAACACGGCTGATTGATGGGACTGCAGCAACCACCGAAGGATCACAATTCTCAGTATACCTGGCAAGGTTCTCTTACACCCTTCTGAGACGTATCAGAGACCACCTGCCGAGGCACCAGAGGCCACAATAGACCGTATCCTGGCCCATCAAGTCCTTTTAGAGCGCCGCCATGAGTTCGGGTGTAGGCTTCTTACAGCCTACATCAACCTCAAGAAGGCGTTTGATACAGTGCATTGGGAATTCCTCAATCACTGAGATTGAGGAATTGCAACAAGGATTATTGAACTAATAGCAAACCTGTATACTGGTACTGAAAGTGCTGTAACGTGTGGTGGGGTCCTGTCGAGCTTCTTTCCTGTTAGTTCAGAAGTGAGGCAAGGCTGTGTCCTTGCACCAACACTTTTCAACACTTGCATGGACTGGATACAGAGCAGAGCTTATTGTCTAGAGTCAATGTGGAGCAATTCTGGGCAATATCAAGGTTGCTGTCCTTGACTTTGCTAATGATGTTGCTAGTCTGTCTTTGGAAACACTAATGGTGGCTCTGCTTGCATTTAGCAATGAAGTAAAGCCCCTGGGTCTAAAGGTCTCAGACCATAATCCAGGATTTTGGGGACTTGCTAGGAAAACCCATTCGGTTAGTATGTGTTTGTGGAGAGGACACTGTAGTCACAGAGAGCCTATCAACGGTTGCACCGTGAGACTGGCACAGGGTATGTTACATGCACAATCCGTGATCGCCAACAGGCTATACGGCTATCTCTCTATCTCTATCTCTCTCTCTCTCTCATGGAAACCATTTTTATAAAATATATGTTTTTCTTTTCAGTTATTAGAAACCCAATAAGGTGCAGCCCTTCAGGCATGTATATTTAATGTTTGATTTTGGCCCTTAAATCAATATTTCAGCCAGATTGGGTAGATGCTTGGACATCTTCCCCTGGCTTTTTACAGGACATGTAAACTGTAAATTTATGTTTTCAAATCCAATCCAATCCAATCCTCTCCCTCTCTCTCTCTCTCTCTCTCCCTATCGTTCTTTCTACACAGCAATGCATAGTCGGTCACGTCTTTTCCCAGGCTGGCTTCCAGGTGACTTCCTAGCGCTCCCCCTTAAACACATGCAAATACACAATGTTTTTTTTTTTTTTACTTTGGTATGCTTCAAATTAAAAACAAGGTTAAACACAAAGATATACATCGCAAATAAAACCTAATTTAAGGGGATCGTCTGTTTTTTTTTTCTATTTATTTACTTGCCGATTTTGATGAAACTAACACCCTTTTATTTAGACACTAGCCTGATCTCTGTGGTAGATTTTTTTTTCGAAATCGCCCGAACAGTTTTTGAATTATAGTAAAAAAAAAAAAAAAAAAAAAAAAAAAAAAAAAAAAAAACGGTTTTCGTCACTTATATATCGACTTTACACGAAACAGGAAAAAATCGAAAATTCCGGTCCCTACGTTCCCTAGACAAACTATCTATCTACATTTATTTTGGACTATATTTGCTTAAAAAAATCGCTTGAAAAAAAAATAAGTATACTTCCGAAATAACCGTCATTGAAGTTTTTTTTCTTTTCATAATCATTATGGTACGAAAAATTAAAGGGAGAAGTATAATCTTCCTACACCATAATTATCTATCATATACCTGCATTCCGAAGTCAACCGGACATTGCCAGCACGTAACGGTTTCTCAAAATCTTTCGTATAGTGGCAGATCTGGGGGGGGTCTATAGGCCTACATTGACCATTTTTAAAATTTTGTCAAAAATCCAAAAACAAATCATACAGCCATTCTGATTTCATGTCTGAATAGAACTATCTTTCTACTATTATTCTACTATTACATTTTTGAGTTGACCTTACTTTTTTTTTGTGAATATTTTTCGGTGACTATTTAAACACCCTAATAGGAGATTTTGAAAATATATGTCACTTTTACAAGAACCACATGAAAATATTGCAAATCCTTATGGCAGCATGTAATAGAACTATTATTCAGCTACAAAATAAGCCATAATACGTTAAAATCGGACTGAAAATACGTGCTATGCGTAAAAATGTGAAGGAGCTAATAATCGCGATCTTTTTCCTATTTATTATTTAAACATTTTGCAGGACAAATCACGTGCGAAATACTTGTTATTGATATAATTATCTATTATTTACCTATTATTGTTGCTCTAATGGGGTTTTACAATGACCTACCTTGATGGCCTGCAGGATGGGGTACGTGATGGTGTGGTCGCCGCCCATGGTGAGGGGAATGCAGCCGTCCTTCACTAACTCGCTATAGTGACTCCGGATGTGTTTGCACGCCTCGGGCAAGCTGGGGACAGGTTAGGGGAGCTGGTAAGGCGTGTCCAGGAGGCCATACATACACTATGTATGTATGTATATATATTTTTTTTCTTCTTTCTTTCTTTCTTTATTTTTTTCTTTCTTTATTTTTTATGTATATTTATTTATACAAATATAGCTACTTTTTATCAATATTTTCATTATTATTATTAATTATTATTATCATCATCATTATAATCACATCATCGTTCATACTATTGCAGCTATCAACATCTTCATTTTCTTGTCCCCCCTCCTTTTCGTACTACTATTGCTGCTCCTCATTCTCCTGCATTTCCCTTTCCTTCTACTTATTCCCTACCTCCTCCTTATTCACCACCTCCTCTTCCTCTTTCTCCTCCTTATTCCCCACTTCCTCTTCTTCCTCCTTCACCACCTCCTTTTCTACCTCCTCCTCTTCTCCGCTTCTTCCTTAATCCCCACCTCTTCTACCTTCTCCTTTTACTCCGCTTCCTCCTCTTTCTTCCCCACCTCCTCCTTATTCCCCACTTCCTCTTCTTCCTCCTTCACCACCTCTTTTCTACCTCCTCCTCTCGCTTCTTCCTTAATCCCACCTCCTCTTCTCCTTCTCCTTTTACTCCGCTTCCTCCTCTTTCTTCCCACCTCCTCCTTATTCCCCTTCCTCTTCTTCCTCCTTCACCACCTCCTCCTCTTCTCCGCTTCTTCCTTAATCCCCACCTCCTCTTCTACCTTTCCTTTTACTCCGCTTCCTCCTCTTTCTTCCAACCTCTCCTTATTCCCCACTTCCTCTTCTTCCTCCTTCACACCTCCTCCCTCTTTCTCCGCTTCTTCCTTAATCCCCACCTCCTCTTCTACCTTCTCCTTTTACTCCGCTTCCTCCTCTTTCTTCCCCACCTCCTCCTTATTCCCCACTTCCTCTTCTTCCTCCTTCACCACCTCCTTTCTACCTCCTCCTCTTCTCGCTTCTTCCTTAAATCCCACCTCCTCTTCTACCTTCTCCTTTACTCCGCTTCCTCTCTTTCTTCTTCCCACCTCCTCCTTATTCCCACTTCCTCTTCTTCCTCCTTCACCACCTCCTTTTCTACCTCCTCCTTTTCTCGCGCTTCTTTCCTTAATCCCCACCTCCTCTCTACCTTCTCCTTTACTCCGCTCCTCCTCTTTCTTCCCCACCTCCTCCTTATTCCCCACTTCCTCCTTCCCTCCTTCACTACCTCTCTCCTCTTTCTCCGCTTCTTCCTTAATCCCCACCTCCTCTTCTA